AAATATCTGGAAATTCGGGGAGAAAAATATTATACAGGCTTATAAAAAAAAATAAGATTTAAAGTGATACTTTTTTTATCTATAATATTTGGAAATTAGATAAAAATTATATAAATCAGGGTTAAAAAAATCTAAAAATTTAAAATAATATTTTTTTTCTAAATGAAAATATTATTACTTAGGGTGAGGAATATAGGAATATTTTCTCTTGCTGCACTTTTGACAAAAACTACGTTTATTATGGCTGCCATGCAGCAGATGCAATCATTTTTTCTCTCCTTTTTTTTTGGCCAGCACAAAGCAAAAGTTTCGGCCACTGATGCCCTGGGCAGTGGAGTGGAGTCCGAGGATTAGAAGAAACCCATACCATAATTAGTTGGCAATTGTCTTGGCCTTGAAGTCCAAGGCCCCCAGAAACGAATTGCGGAGCCTAGCATTTTGTCATTTTGTCAGCCGCACTGGATATATTTAAACGACTCAAATGTCGCCTTGATTTTGGGCATACCCAAAGGGGAGAGGGAAAATGGGAAATGGCTGGGAAATCCATTTACATTTTGGCAGCTCGACACGCTCGATTAACAATTCCAACAAAGCACAAATCCTGATCAGGAATGCACTGCCAGGGCTGCTCTGCTCTGCTCCTTTCGGGGCATTTGGAAAACTTTTGAATGCATTTCAATTATTTTGCATGTTCATCAGATATGCAAACGGGGATTCCAGCCCCGGAACGAAACGGAACGAAATGGAGGGGGAAAGCATCTCAAAAATGCCAGTCACCAGGCAAAAGTGCATTAAACAACTCAAGTTACGAAACATGACGATGGGGATGGGGATTGGGGATTGGGGATGACGTCGACGAGGATGACTACGCCGAGGACGTTGACAATGCCAGCCCCGAACTCAGCTGAACTAGAGTGAACTACTGGCAGAGGATATGCAATGGGTGACGGATGGATGGGTCGGATGAGGACGAGGTGGTGGCGGGAGGATTGGCCCGGCATGAATGCCACTACACCGCATCGCACACTATTGATTTAATCATTCAAACCAGAAGAAAAAGCCTCACTGACCTGGAATCGAGTACCCTGTAGCTTGCAGTATAATTTACTGATTTTATTGGCCAACAGAAATAATATAAAAATGTAGGGAATTTCATCAGCACTACGGATGAAGGATTACCTCAAACCTTTATATTAAAATAATATTTATAATTTGTGGCTTCAGGCGAAGAGCTTTAATAGCTTCCAAGAAGAAGAGTAAGAAACTGGGGAGTAACTGGTGCCCCATCGAGGGTATCAGAGAAAGCGTCTGAAGACGGCGATGGAGGAGGGCTAATCTACAGAGCCCAGAACACCCAACACCCAGCCGAATGTGGAACATGCTGCGTTAAGGCATTTTTGTGGCCAAAGTCGGAAAGTCGAAAAGTCTGAGGCGAGAGCAGTGAACGTAGCAAAAACGGGTGACTGAGCGTAACTCAAGCGGCAATGGGATGGTACGAAAAATGGGAAAGGGGATGGGGATGGGGATGGGGATGGACCTCCAGGAGCACCACTAGCACCACTAGGCGGCAAAGGACAAGCCAACAACAATAACTAACAAGAGCAATAACAACAGCCATTGGAAAAATTGGGAAGTGGGGTAAATGCGACAGGGGGAGGGAATGGCATGGCGCACAGAAATTCTTTTGAAAACTCTTTCTTTCACGGCAATTTCGCCAATCTTTTCTTTTCCCTCTTCTTGACTGTTTTTTTCCCTCTTTTTGCCGGCCCTTATTACATGTCTCGTGCTCCGAAAAGCAGGGGAGCATCCAATTAAGGGGCGTCCCAAGGATTCGGCAACTAGTTCGCCAATGGAAGCTGAAAGCATATGGAATATGAAATATGGAATACAAAGGCTAAACTCAAAAAATCTCCTTAAATTACAACTTTAATCAGAGTTACATTGTTCGCAAAACCAAAATGAAGAGGCCAAAGAAAACTCTTTTCATTCGTTCTAGTGAACGAGAGAAATTTCATTTCGAGCCGGTTCGATTTCACCGTCCATATTTCCCCTAATGAACCTTTGTGACTGGTGGCAAATGCCAGGTATCTTGACTGTTTCGGTGCACTTTCCTAATTGGTAAAACGATCTACAGGTGCATCATGGCTCATTTGAGAAAATGGCAATAATGGAGAAGGTTTCCTGCAGTTTGCAAATTGACACTATTAAGCCAAGAAGCTGTCAGGTTTGCAATTTCCATTTTTTTTATTATTTCAAAGGGCCTCTTTTAGAATGAGTCTAGCGCCCACATCTTTAAAGATTCTGGAAAAGATTAAATGCAATTTTATTGTGTTTATTAATACGTATGGAAATGTAGAAGAAAATTTTCAAATCAGCCCACTAATTAAAAAGTTATGAGCAAATAATGGGATTCAAGCAGTGCAAGCAGTTTGTTTTTAAATAACTTTTGTTAAGCTACCGAGAAACTTGTGTGGCCACCCTCGTTTCGCGAGCTTTGCCACTGACCTACTTACCGAAAAATGGCTGACTCGGCGCGGGTATGGAAAGGCAAGGGAGGGAAATATAAAGAAAGGAGAGCAAAGAAAAAGAAAAAGAAAGCAGGGGAAAGGAAAGGCAGGCCTGTCTGCTGAGCCAGAGGAGCAGAACGGCACGGCGCTTGTTTGATCTGCCTGGACCTGGATCTGCCTGCGAACGTGAACCTGGAGCCATCGGAGGCATTTCCTTGGGATGCTTGGATTCTTGGGTGCTTGGCTGCTTGGATGCCGGCACACAGAGAAGGAGCGATGCCAAAACCGAAAAGCTGAAAAGTCGCGACGCAAGGCGACAATAATTGGCGCAAGGTGGCCCAGTCAAGGAAAAACACTCACTCACACAGACGGGCAGACACTTAGGGCGGCCCACGATGGGGAGGGACAAGGGGATGGGGATGGGGATGGGGATGGAGGTCCTGAGTGACAGAGATGACAATCAACAAAAGGACCCACACACACACACACGACAAAAATGACAGGAAGCAGCGACGCCAGCGACGACTGCAACAGAAATCAAAATCAAAATGAGAATCGCAAAATGCAAAATGTAAAACGCCGCAAATTGCTTGTAGACAACGCAGAGAACAACAACAACAACAGAGGAACGACGGATGGCAAAATGGAAATAGGAGATGAGCGGAAAAGTTGAGCGGTACAACGATGAAAGGCGGTTACTCTAGGACAAAATTATTAATTCATTTTGAATTTATTTGTTGCCTATGGCTATGAAGAAATTTGCAGTGATTACTTTGGCATTTCTATTTTTAAGCAGTAAGTTTAAAATAAATATATATATTTTAATTTTTTAATTAATCCATAACAAGGTATCTCCATTCTTAATTTAAGAAAATTCCAAATACCATTTACAACCATTCTAAAACTCTGCAAATAATAAATATTTAAAATACTATAATACTTGAAACTAGCGGGTAAGAAAATGGCCAAATATATTTAATTTGATTTTATGTAATCTATAAGTAATTCCATTTTGAAATTCAGAATCTAAAAATGCCTTTCGCTACATATTAATAAACCCTACACATGTTTATACCTATTTTATTTTACAAATATTCTAAAATTAGAAAAAATATTTAATTAAAAATCCTATAACATTTGAAATATATATTTTACAAATATTCTAAAAATCTAAAAAAAATTCATATTGATAGTATTTGAAATACTTATACTATACCGAAATGACACACATTTATACTTATTTAAGTTGACAAATATTCTAAAATGCTGCACAAAAAATTAAGATGATATTTAAAATATTTATTTAACAAATATTCTAAAAATCTAAAAAAATCCAAAACATAATACAGATAATATTTAAAATAAACATATTATTCCGACATGTTCACATTATACTTATTTAATTTGACAAATATCCTAAATTACTTCACAAAAAAATTAAGTTAAAAATACATTAATATTTGAAGTAAATATTTTACAAATATTCAAAAAATCTAAAAAAATCGCAATTTAATAAAGATAATATTTTAAATAATCATACTATCCCGACATGTTCTAAAATCTCTTCCAACCAAGTGAGCTCTATCTCTGACTGCAGTTTTGCTCTTCTTTTGTTGGCCAAAAGGATGGGGAAGTGGAAGGGGAAACTGCAACGAGGTGGCGAATACACACACTCGCAGGCACACACACACACAGTGACAGTGGGGAAAACAGGGTGAAGGACAATGCGTGCATAACGCTTATTGAAATAGTTCTCAAGTGAGTTCGACGCTGGCTGCGACGTCGTCAACGTGGGCTTGCCAAATGGGCCGCAAAAGGGTGGCCAAAAGGGCGGCAAGAAAAAAACAAGGGGGTGGTTTAAGCGGGGGGTGCTAACTGGGAGGCTGAAAGGCTGCCATTTAATGCCCAGAAACAGAAACAGAAGCAGAACCAGAAACAGAACCGGTTGAGACAGCTGATATTTGTGCCTGCAACTGTCTGTCCCACCGCACATTCCTCCTCCCCACTTTCTTCGTTCCACTTTCTTCGTATCTGGTTGCTGGTATCACGGCTGCCATTGCCGTGATTGTCAATACGCAATCCGTAATCCGGCGAAGGCTTAGGAAACCGAAGCAAGATAAGCAGCAGCTTACCAGCAGGACTGCTTCTGCTTCTGATTCAGCCGTGCTTTCCAGTTATGCTTTTCTGCCACTGCGGTCGGGTATTTATATTTGTTTTGATTTCATGCCCAGCTGGCTGAAAGCCTCTCCCCATTCCCAAGATTACATCACAAGTAAGTATATGACTAGGAAAGGCAGCAGCTGCATCCTGTTGATCAACCTTCCTGCAATCAGGCTGGGAAATTCCTTCTAGTACCCCAAAGAAATTCCCCCTTTTGCTGGTTGAAAGCCCCCGAATTTCCCCGCTTTCAATTGCCGCCTTCAACCAGCGTTCAATGTCTATAAAAGGAGGCTTGGCAGCCAGTTGCCACTCAGTTGCTCGTGGGCAGTCGAACAGCATGGACGTGTCGCAGCAGCAGCAGCAGCAGCAACAGCAACTGGAGCAACAGCAGCAGTAATCTCCTCCTTTTTCCAACTGGCCAACGGACCGCCAACCAGCAGCAAGGGATCACACTGCCAAATCTTCAGAATCCTTTCATTTTTTTTGCATTTTTTTTTTGGTTTGCTGGAGGGCGTGCGAAAAGCCAAAAAAAAAAAACAAACAAAAAAGTGGGCTTAAAGTTTTGAGTGAAGTATAAAAAGATAAAAAACTAAAAAAAAGCTAAAAACTTAAAAAAAAAATAAACCAAAAATAAATCAAGAGATACAGAGTGTCGAACAGTGCGTGAGTTGCAGTTACAGTTTTCAGTTTTCCGCTGGGAAAAGGGATTAAAAGGCGAATAAAAAACTTTTTGGCGCACAAAAGTAGGCAACAGCAACGCCAACTTTCTGGGTAAGTCTATCTTTATCTGAATGTGTGTGCGTGTGATTTTGTATTTGTGAGCGTGTGTGTGCTGCAGCAAAGCCTTAAGCCCTTTGAACGCATTTAAGTGCAGATTTATGTTTCGCCCCTCAGATCGACACAGACAGCCAATTAAAGTTGCCACAGCAGCTGCAACGCGTAGACATCACAGAATCACTGCCCCAAAAGAAGAACTAAGACTTTAGCCAGTAGAAGTGGAAGAAGCACTGCCATTGAAACAGCTACTGCCAGCAACAACAATAAAACAATACAAGGAACTGCAACAACAACGTGTTGCTGCCGCAAAACGCAGCAGCCGCAACGAGAGCGTCATCTCTGCCCTTCGCACGCCTCTGCGGGTAAGTTGACATTTCATTTTCATTTTGAGTGCATTTTCCCGCCAACGACAATCCACGGAAAACCCCAAGCACCCCAGCACCCAAATCTACCCCTTTTTCAGCGCGTTCATGTGTGCGTGTTAGTGTTTGTGCTAGTGCTAGTGATTGTGTTGGTATTAGTGCTGTGTCGGGGTCAGCGCGTTATTACAAGTTATGTCCTGTGCCAGCAGCTCGTAGTTCGCAGTTCGCAGTTCGCAAGTTCAGATTCACATTCACATTCAGATTCAACAACAATGGCCCTGGGACACCCACACACCCTTCCATTTCCACTTCCAATCCAAAAAGCGTAGCCAATCCAAACTGGCAGCAAAAGTCACGTTTGTCGAGTGGCAACACAACATTATTTAGAGCCAAGTCTCATCGCCAAGCCACGCCAGTTGAAACTGACAAACTCCGGTTCACGGGCTTCCCGAAACGAGCTTAAAATGTGTGTGGGTCAAATGTTAAACGGCCATCAGCCATCGGCCATCAGCGGCATCAGCTGGCAGCAGTTAACGGCGCTCCCTCGGGAGGCACTAATCGAAATATGGACTGAGAATCGCCCCAGGGACACAGCGAAAAAGGTGAAGGGATTTTCGGCAAAAATCTATAGAAAAAAACTAGTGAAAAACTTAATCTTAAGTGTAAGTAAATTCGTTTGTACGTTTAAAAACAAAACTTTTAAAATTATAACAGTCTTTTTTCTTCCAGAAGTTTTTGAACCACTTAAACAGGTGCCTAAAAGTATGCAACAAACTTTGTTCTTTTTTTCACCGCATATTTTTAGAAATCTTAATAAGTGATTTCAAAAACCTTAATTTTAAATAAACTGTAAGAAGGGCTTTTAAGCCACTTTTTATGTGTCTACAAATATGCAAAAAATTTCATTCTTTTTTTCACTGCATACTTTTAGACACTATTATAAGCGATTTCAAAACTCTTAATTGTTGACTGTAAAATGTTTAAATAAAATAAGACGTTTTTTTTTACACTCATAATTTTAAAAAAGATTTTATGAATAAAATAGACTTTTGAAAAACGCATTCCAATGCATTCAAGTCACTTCAGATTTTCTGCACCCGACTGGTTCGCATTAATAAAGACATGCCCACCAACATCTCAATAGTTTCTCCCCGTGGAGACGCATCCTGGTGAACTGCCAGGACACTAAGGACACACACACTTTGCATGTTTATCTCGCTGTGGGTGGCAATCCCGGCGGAACGAGCATGGCATCGCCGTTAAGCAATTTCGATAACTGCCGAGCGACAACGTCAACTGGTTATGCCAATTTATGGCCAAAGTTGCTAGTGTGCTGTGCATACAAATGTAAATTTAAATTGAAATTTAATCGGCCAGCGCAGGCGCCACTCTTGGCCGCCTTTTTTGCGATAAGTTTTCGATTAAAAACTCGTTTAGCGAGCCATCAGAAAATAGCAAAGCCAGTAGCCAGTGTGGAAAGTCCGAGAAGTTTCTGCTCCTGTTTCAGTTTTACGGTTGCCTTGGGGTTTTAATTAAAAGCTTAATTGGAGGGCGGAAAAAATTAAATAAAATGATTGCGTAATTAAAAGCAAACAAAGCCGACGAAAAATGCCAGTCGCCAGTAGCCAGTCGCCAAAAGGTGGTCAGCAAACAGCGAATGGCAAACAGAAGCAATAGGAAAAGCAACAGCAGCAGCAGGAGCGGCCATGTCCTGCCAGGGAAATTAAAAACTTAATGGTCAGAAAGGACACACATGGGAGGCTGTCAACGCTCAACGACTTTGGCCAACAGATGGAACAAGTTTATCCTGTGTTGAGTGAGTGTGCGTGTGTGAGTGCATTTTATGGGGAGAGGGGGTTGAGGGTAGGTGATTAGACGACTTTTCCAGCGAGAGACGTGTGTACAATGGTGCCGAAAGAAATCGAAAAGAGCCAAAGTCTGATTTAAAATTAATAATGAATATCAATGAGCAGTGGTGGGTGGCATAGCGATTATTGGAACACTGAAATCGAAAATTATTCAATAAGAATACTTCTTGTTCATGGGTCATTGCATAGTAGGTTTTGAAATCACTTGTAAATTTTAAAATAGGTATCTAAAAGTATGCAATGAAGAAGGGATAGTCTTCTTCGTGAATGAATTCAAAACACTTTTGGTTCAAAAATATATTGTTGCATACTTTTAGACAAGGTTTTTTGCAATTTTTCGCTTTAAAATTATATTATTATTATTATTATTATTATTATTATTATATTTTCTTCAACCGAAAATCCGTTTTAAATTTATATGAACAAGTTATTTTTCGAGTTACTTTCCCCCACATTTAAACCCACTGTCCTTGGCTTCTGGGATTCTGGGAATCTACTTAAACTTTGTCTTGAGTTGATTTCCTTTTACAGTTTGCTCGTTCTTGTTGCTGGAAAAACTTAATTTGCCGTCAGTCCGTTTGGCTGCGTGTGGGTGTGGGTGTCCTCCATACTCCATACGAGTATGTATGTATCCTCGCTGGCAGGGCTTGTCACTGGGGCCACATCATTTTGTGTGTAAATTAAAGAGCCAGTAGTCCAGAACCGCCCAGAAAATAGAAAACTGTCCACTCGCAGGGACACAGGCATATGGCAGGACACACAAGCACAGACACACACATGCCTGGCATATTCATCTATGTCGCACATCGTTAAGCGCTGCCAGTTTGACTTAATTTGCGTTAAACTTTTTTGTTAAACATATCATTCGCCAGCCAGGCCCCGGTGGCAAATATATATAGGGGGCGCTATTGGAGGCCCCAAACCCCAAAAGAAAATAACCAAAACGTGAAGCGGGAAATGTAAACAAAGGCATTAATCATGCCAGCACACATGCGGCAGCAGACAGGGATAGAGATAGATGGATCGCTGTGGAAAAAAAAGAGGGGGGCGGTAGCGGAAAAAGGGGGAAAAACCCTAGCAGGTCCATTAAGCTACGCTTCGGTTTTGGCTTTGCTTTTCTTTTCTTTTCCTTTCTTTTTTCCGTGTCCTGCGTTTCGGTGGGAAGATAAACAGGCCAAGTCACTCTCACATGGCATTTGTCGCCCCCCTTTCCTCCGCCACTGCCCCCATGTTTGTTTAAATGACAAACTGCTGTTTGTTAACCGAATAAAATGAAAAAGCCAAGCAGAAACTACAAAAAAAGAAAGTAAGGGAAGGGAGCAAGGGAGAAAGGGAAACGTAAAATGTAAAACAAATCCTGGGATAGTAGCGGGAGGGTTCTAGGGTGGCCCACAGCCCAACTGAACCGATCCGGGCTTCTATTTATTCGCCAGGCGAACTAAACCGCAATAACTGTAAGTGCTCGGCAAACAGCAGCGGCGAAGAAGAGCTCGAAAACCAAAAACTAACAAGCGACAGTTGACAGTCGACACCCGTCGCACCCCCCTAGGCCACCCCAGACCACCCTAGACCACCCTGAACCCAAACCACCGAGGCAGTCGTGTGTGTCGGACTGGTCTGGCGAATTATTATGATAATCGCAGGCATAAATTATGCCAGGATCCGAGACAAACAGACAAACAGACAGGCACAGAATCCCATTCCGGACTCAATGCAGGTGTCCTCGTACAGTGAGCACTCTCGACAGGAACCACAGCCACCCGACCAACCGACGGTCCCCAGTTGCTCCTGCTTTCGATGGCTTTTATGTGGTGCCTTGGGGAAATTAAGTTTGTGTCATGTTTGTGTCACCGCCACCGCACAAAGCTCTCTAAGCAAGGTGTTAGCCTCACCGAGTGCCATGTGCTACGCTATGCTTTTCCCACAGCGCCCACAGTGCGTATGCGTGATATGCAAATGCCGTTCGCCGCAAAAAGTGCTGCATACTTTCGGGCTGCAACCTGGGGCATCGAGCCACGCTTTCTGCCATTTCGACACACGGACACAAAGCCATTTGCCCTTAAAGCTCAGCAACCATTTTTTTGTTGTCGTTGTATGTTATAATTCTTTGTATATTTTGTTTCCCCCCGCCACATTCCCGCTTGTTTGCCACGCTCGGGGGCAATTTATCAAATATTTTATACGAATTTCTGCTGCCTGTCAACGTTGATTTTAGCGCTTAGCCGGGCGCGTTAAGGGGGAGTGGCCGTGTGGCCGTGTGGGAGTGGCGGCAAATAAAGCACACCTGTTGCCCACACGTCAATAATAATGTGAGACAGAGTGTCCTGAGTGTCCTGTCGCATAATAAAGAAGGAAACAAAAAAAAAAAAACACCCACCCACCCACATGACGAGCAGAAAAGTTCGACTGACACATCGTTTCTCCTCCTCGCAGGCGGCCTCAAAAATAAAAGAGAACTCAAGATGCAGAACGCCAGGATTGCCAGGATCGCAACCAACTCTGCCCGGGCTTGTCACCGGCAACGATTCTACGAACCCAATGCCGAAGTACGCTGGCAGCACTCCGAGCACTAAACCGGCTGAGTGGAGCCACTAGCACCCCGGATCCGAACAGGTAATGCTTACTGAGATGTCTCCTCAGCCTCTCTGCACAGAGAGAATATCCAACTGAGTTGGGGATATTCTTAAAAATATATTTCTTCATTTGAGCTGAAAATGTTTTCACTCTTCTCAGCAATTTGTTCTGATATTTAGTACATTTATACTTACTTTTAAGAACGAATGTTCTCGATTCAAGATTCCTCTTTTTTTTATATTAAGAGCATTCTTACTCGCCTTTTTAGGAACGAATGTTCTTGGTTCAAGAATCCTCTCTTCTCCTAAGTTCTTTCTGATATTGGAAACAATTGCGCTACGTCGGCTTTCAAGAACGAATGTTCTCTTTTCAAGATTCCTCTCTTCTCACCATTTGTTTCTGATATTGAGAACATTCTTACTCGTCTCTTTAGAAACGAATGTTCTCAATTCAAGATTTCTCTCTCTCCCCCTCAACTCTCATCCTTTCTTCTGAAAATGAGAGCATTCTTACTCGGTTTCTAAGAGCGAATGTTCTTAATTCAAGACTCCTCTCTTCTCACCATTTATTTTTTCTGATATTGTGAATATTTTCGCCTACTCGCTTTAAAGAACATTCGTTCCCGATTCAAGAACAATGGGCTCTCGACTTTTTCTTGCTGTGCATAGCACCTAGCCACGCTCTAGGGACCTTTTATTCTCCCATTCACGGCCAACTTATTTACGGTCCGCAATTATTTCCAGCATTTTATTTTTACGTCTCTCAGTGGCAGTTGCTTTTCAATTTTTCGTTGATTTGTTTGTGCTGCGCGTCGGCAATCAAAGTCCCAATTGTTACGCCAACTGGCCCACCGCCCCCTTATCGTTTTTTGTTTGTGTTTGTGTTTCTTTGGCGCTTTGTTTTTATCGCACTGTGTACAAGTGAACGCTTCCGTTTCCGCTAGTCGCGTCACAGTCAGTTCGTTTTGGTTTGGCTTGAAGCTCCCCCCCTTCCCTATTTAAATTACATGGCAATCGCAATGGCATTCCAAAGGCATTCATTCATGAGAAACAGCCAACAGCTAGGGAAAAAGGGAGATACTATTTTTACACGCAATTTCTCAGGGGTAGCCTTACTTACACAAATTAAACTCGATTCGCAGCGGCGGCACAAGCGGAGGAACTATGATAACAAGGCTCTACAACACCGAAGAGGATCCCGCCTACTGCTCGTTCATCTGGGGCTCCAATCTCACCAGCAGCGCAGATGTCCTGGCCGCCAATGCCACGTCCGTCTTTAGCAGCGACCTAAGGGACGACTTCTATCGGGTGAGTGGCTCCCATTTTCTCTTTTATATTTTCTATCCATTGAATAGTGGTTATTCTGTTGATTTCTGGCTTCTGGCTCGCACCTTGGGCCAGTTAGTTGGTATTCGATATTGGGCGTTGGGCATTGGACCCTCGCAGCCTTCGGGGGATGCCTGCTGCGCAGGAAAACTGTTGCCTACTTTCGGGCGCCGCGGGAAATGTTTTCCACAAATGTTTTCAGCCAAACGGAGGAGAAAGTGCGGGGAATTGCTCATTTCAGGGCACAGCAGGCTCAGTTGCAAGGCCTCCGTGTATCCAAGGCATCCAGTTGTCAGGTTCACTCAACTCTTTAAAGTCCAGCTAACCCCTGGTTTAAAAACGAAATATAATTTATATTGACTTTGCTAATAAAACTTTTTAGAATAAAACGTTACGGAAATCCAAAGTAAGCATTTTTTGAACCGCAAAATGAACAAATTAAAAAGTACAACATTTTAAGTCAAATTCATTACAAATAACTTTTTAATAATATTTAAAAAATAGTAAAGAGTACAAAATAAATTTTTAAATTGCAAAATTGCTAAACTTTTTCTAAAAAGTTTTAAAGGGAAATTTTTAAAAATATTTTTTCTTATTTTTGCATGTGGTTTATATAGTTTTGACCTTACAAATTAGTAAACAATTTGATTTTTGCTAATCATACTTTTTTTTAACATTAATTTCTTTTGCTCACAAATTCTTAAAAGGTCAAAATAGGAAGAGGCTCCTAACAATTGCACCTTGTTAATACAGGGTACTAAAATGTAACCCAAAAAGCTGACAGACAAGCGAAAGCTGCTTTGTTCGCAACTCTGGCACAAGACGATGCAAAAATAGAAAACAAAAAGGAAAAAAGGGGTGGCAAAGTGAGGCAAATGGAGGGCACATGTGGCAGCAAAGGAGCAAGGGGCTTAGGAATGGGGAATGCGTGTGTGCATAAAAAGTGGCAAAATAAAAGTGTCAAGTTGACTATTGAATTTTTATCTGCGGAGCCAAGCCAACAAAGCAGGCGAAGCCACAAAGAGATGATTTACGAGCTGCCGTTCCTGCAGCCCCATCCCCCATCCCCATTGCCACTTGTTTACTATATGTATATCCCTTTTTCAGGATGTGGAGGATCCGCGGACGGAATCGTTGAGGGAGTACTGCTATGGCCTGGTGCTGCCCATCATCTGCGCCATGGGCATCATAGGCAATGTGCTCAACCTGATTGTGCTCACCAGGCGCAACATGCGTGGCACCGCCTACATCTACATGAGGGGTAAGTATGCCACATACTATATACCAGGGGTCACACGCCTTTCTTGCGTTGGGCACACGTCGATTCTTCTTTGTGTCAACAACAATTTCATTGGTCTTTTTTATCGTCGCTAATTTAAATGAAAATTATTTTTGTCTTTTGTAAATGACCTTCCCTGCTAAATACCTCCTCCAAGGAGTCCTTAGCCACACACACACTACCGAACAGAAACAGGCGAATTCCTTGTGCCAAAAGACCAACCTCATTTCGAGATCCATTTCGGCCTGCTGAATTCCAATTAATCGGCAACCACATGCAGACCAATATTCAACTATTTCGTACTCTGAGGCAGTAATCAGTAATGCGAATTCCCAGGCCCAATGGTCGGCTAATATGACGGTTAGCTGAAAACCGAAAACCCAAAACCGAATGCATGCCCAATTACCTGAGACTGGCATCCAAATGGAACAGTATCCATTTCCAAAGGCCATGCACAATGCACAATCCTCCTTTTTTAAGCCTGTTGCTGCATTTCTGTGTGCGAACTAAATCCGAATTCAGTTTTTCCTTTGAGCAAAAATTCAGCATTCGAATCAAAGCTAAAAATATGAAAATATTAAATTACACAAAACCTGTAGTTATGAGTAGCAAATTTGATTAGTTTTCAGCCAATGGGAAACCGAAATGAAAATTGGACAAAGGCAGCTTTCACAATTATCAATTCAATTTGTGGAAAAGGTAAGAAAACCTATTGTTTTTTCTCTTCATTCGATTGGGCCCAGCTTTTTTGTCCAGCCATCAAAATAATCATTGTCAAATGTCAGCCCACAAAAAGAAGTAAAATTCCATTGACAAGGCAGCAGTGGTGATTAGTGAATTTACAGCACAATTGATTGAAAATCGAATATCGAATAATGCCAGCATAATGCCATTGTTCTCCAGAGCTGCCATACAGTAGCGTCTAATGAATTCCTCTTTTTAACTTTGCACTCGCTTTGCACAAGAAGCCCAAATACTAAATACCATGTTCATTTCCCATTTCCCATTTTGGGCTATGATTTGCGATAACCCATATTGGATTTTTTTGGCCCAGAGAACGACACTCGTATGTCTTCGCCCACGCAAACATTGGATTTCCTCAGCTTCATTGGCATTCCGGAGGTTGGGGTTTGGGGATTGAGGGCTCGACTCTTGACTGATTGCCAAATTGAGTTTCGCTTTAGAACATATGTATTCGTCGGTTCCCCCTCGCCAAGCCCATGTGGCCATTGTGCCCCAGAATTTATTCATTAACCTCGACGATTTCTGGCGAAATTGAAGCTGCCACAATGCGGCTAATGTATGCGCAGCGCCGTGTGCGTGTGCAGCTTCATTGAAAGTTATTTCATTAGATGAGACCGGTTAACCCCGTGGAAATTTATGCAGAGCCACTAAGCCTGTGCCACGCCCCCTGAAAGCAGCCCCGAAACCAGCTGTATTCGCATTCCACTGTATTAGACAGCATGTCAACTCTATTAGACACTCGTTTGCTTTATGGCGCTTTAATTGATTAATGAGCTCCACTTCCGTTCCCACTTTTCGGGCGGGGAAAAAGGCAACTTTGTCAACGCCGCCACTTGCTGGTAATTTTTGTTTAGCGTCGACTATCAGTCATGGCGAGCACAAACCCAAACCCGAGCCCAAAAAAAGGAAAGTGGAAGGACAACAGAAGCAGGCGACTCACTTTACTTTTCATGGGAAATTCCCCCACACAAGCCGAAGCGTGGGATACCCTGGGCAAGATGACTTAACATTTAGATTCCACGAAAACCTAAAAAACACTTAGTGTCAGAGCTGAAAGCCTTATGGCCATTACTTTAATAGATTTCCCAACATTTCTGTTTTGAGCCCTTCCTATTAGAACCTGACATAGAGATTGGTGACCCCGATGCATACAAAAAGTTCGTTGAAATTCAACGATCTACTGCTTTTAGATCTCAAGACCGTAAAACCATTATTTCAGATCCAGATTTCCCCGCCCTTTCCGCTTTTAGACACTGCTATGGAGATTGGTGACCCCAATGTATATTAATATTACACTCTATCTGTTTAATTTTAATAATTTAATGTTAAATGTAACTATTTTTCTTTTGTTTATTTTAAGTTTTGTAAAATACCCTATTATTATTTTTTCCAAAGTGACCGATGTAATAATTTATAAGACCTAGTCTTGTCTCATCGGGATAAAACAAATAAATAAATTAAATTAAAATTATAAACAAATTCGATCAAATTCACAGATATAACTGTTTTTTTAAAGCAGCAGATCTCAGTCTTTGTTTTCATAGATTTCCCGCCAATTCCGCCATTTCATCTTTCACTTTAGACACTGCCATTGAGACTGGTGACCCCGATGAATAAAAACATTCGTTTAAATACCCCGATCCAACTGTTTCTTAGAGCTGACGATCTGAACCATTGTTTTTCATAGATTTCCCGGCATTTCCGCTTTAATTTTTCACTTTATACATTGCCATGGATTGGTGACCCCGATGGATAAAATAAAACCCGTTCAACTCTTCCGATCTAACAGTTTTCAGACCAGCAAGCCTTAGCGCCATTATTTTCATAGATTTTCCACCATTTCCGCAGTGAACTTTCGCTCTTTGGACCAGGCTCGTGCCCCCGATTACCAACAGACTTTATGGCCTGCCAAGGGCCAAAAATGTGTGGCCGATCTGACTGGAATTTAAGTACCCCATAAAAGGGTATAGGGCAAGGGCGAGGAAGTCCCTGCGAAATGCGAAAATAAAATGTAAAATGTGAAATGCTTCAAATGTAATACGCATGCTATGGCAGCATAATTGATTGCCCTTTCGACTGCCTTTTAGGCGGGAGAAAGAGGAGAAATGCAAAGCGACCAGACCCTTTGGCTGGTGGACGACTAGGACTCCTCCTCCTTCTGGCTGAAATATCACTAGCTCAAGTGGCAGTAAATAAAAGTTGTGAAGAGCCTTTCGCCGGCATGAGTAATAATGACCGAAATCAGAGCGCCGAGCCAACCCAAACGCTCTGCTCTGCTCATTTTATTAAAATAACAAAAATATTTTGCTGCTCGCAGCCTTTTTACGATGCCAACCGACTGGCTGGCTGCCCCATTTGTTATTTGGCGGTCATTGCCACCGAATGGTGTCCTGTCCCTCGTCCTTCATCCTTTTCTCTGGGGCTCGTGTGTGCTGTGTGTGTGTGCTGTGTTTTGACCAAAGTTATGCAGTTGCGGATGGGCAAAAAATGTTTTATTGCCAACCGGGGAATGCCAAAGTGGCCAGAGGCCCCTGAGGAGATCCCTGATCTTGAAACGAGCGAGATCCCGCTTAAAGCCACTCCATCACTGGAAGGAATTCCACAGCTGACAGGACAAACACAAGAGATTTTCACACAGAACGGGGTGCTGATGTCCTGATGGGCAGTACACTTGTCAGGCTTGGCGCAAACAAAACTGACATTTATATTGATGCGGCGGCCCTGTGCCCAATTAGAGATGCCCATCATTATGAGAGCGGCCCATATCCTATCCTCTGCCATCCGGTGGCCTCCCCAAGTCAAACTTGTGTGTGTTTGCACAGCAATTTGGCGGGAAGCGGCGGCAGGACGCACATGATATTAGTAATAATGTAATTATATGGTCATAAACAAAATAATAAATCAATAAACAACGCACACACACACAGCACGCACAAAGTTGTCAAAAGAGAAAAACGAGAAAGAGGAAGTTAAGAAAAGGGAACCGGAAAGGAAAGCCATTCATTTGGGCCGCGACTCAAGTGCTCGTGTGTGTTCGTACGTGTGCGTATGTGTGTGTGCCAGGACTTCCTGTTGCCACATGGTCGACGGAAACGGCGCCATAATTATGCCATAAACCCAACCATAAAGGACATTTTTATAGATTTGCCCGAGTTAATCCCTTTGTTATTCTCCTCTTTCTCCTCCCTTTCTCTCGTGTCTTTTTAGCCTACTCCACTGCCGCCCTGTTGGCCATTGTGTTCGCCATCCCCTTCGGCATCCGCATGCTGGTGCACAAGGATCGAGGACAGTGGGAGGAGTTCGGCCCCGCCTTCTACACCGCCCACTTGGAGCTTTATTTGGGCAACGGCTGTTTGGGTGAGTCTCGGCTGAAAGCTTTCGAGGGTCGAATCTCGAAGCTTTAAAGGTTGGACGCAGCTTTACGATTGACAGGAATCTCTGGTTGACTCGCTTAAATATTACAAATTATTATAAATTATAAGATACAAATGTCTGCATATTTGATTCAAAATGTCGTATTTAATATTTCAATTAAAATTAAAAAAAAAAACAAACAAATATTAAAATGCATGACTAAATTTGAAAATATTTGTGTTGAGGTGAATGATATTTACTTTAAGCATTTTTATATTAAAATCAAAGTCTCAAATCCTCAAATTAACTATAAATGTTAAATCTAATATTTCTCTTTTTTTAATTAAAGCAAATTAATATTAAATTTGGTGTGAAATCTATTGATTTCCCACACTAATAAAATCGAATATTTAATAAAAAAGGCATAAAAAATAACGTGATTTAAATAACATCGAGCTGGTCATATTTACTTTAAATATTTTTAGTCAGTAAAAAATAATTTCATGTTCAAATCAAAATTTTAAAGTATTTAAAATAACTGCATTCAATTAATGAAAACCAAAACGATCTTTAAATATACAACATTTTTTACCAGTGTACTTTTTCTCAATAAGTGTTGTAATAATAATTGAAAATGACTTCAAAATTAGTTATTATACCTATATTTTCTTGTAAGACTGTGTAACTTGTGAACTAATTGCCCGATGTATTGTAATCTATTTTAATTAACAGCATCAACTTAATATTTATATTAACATTTTGTTGTGGCTACCTAGGCGTTGGCGTAATGATGTTACTAGTGCTGACCATCGAACGTTACGTGTCCGTCTGCCATCCCGGCTTCGCTCGACCAGTGATGGGACCACCGGGGTAAGTCGCAGACCTGCATCCCCCACCCACCAACTCCATTTCATTCCCGAATCCCCAACAGCGTGGTGGTCTTCCTCACCTGCCTGGCCACGGTGATCGTCTACCTGCCGAGCATCTTTCGCGGCGAGCTGATCAAATGCATCTTCGGCTCCAGCGACGTCTACGTGTACTTGCGGCGCGACAACACGATCTACCAGCAGACGATCTTCTATCGCGTCTACAAGATCATGCTCGAGGTGATCTTCAAGCTGGTGCCCACCCTGGTGATCGGCGGCCTCAACTTGCGCATCATGATGGTCTACCGGCGGACCTGCGAGCGCCGCCGTCAGATGGTCCTCAGTCGTCCACATGCCCATGGTCATGGTCATGGTCATGGCCATGGACATGGACATGGACACGGACACGGGCATGGACATGGATATATGAAGGACGACGATCCGAGGAAGTTCGCCGAGGAGCGGCGATTGTTCCTGCTGCTCGGCAGTACCTCGATCCTGTTCCTTGTGTGCGTCTCGCCGATGGCCATACTCCACATGACGATCGCCTCGGAGGTCTACCCGAGCTTCCCCTTCCAGGTGTTCCGGGCCAGCGCCAATCTGCTGGAGCTGATCAACTACTCGCTGACCTTCTACATCTACTGTCTGTTCAGCGAGGACTTCCGCAACACCCTGGTGCGGACCATCAAGTGGCCCTGGCTGAAGGGCAAGTTCTGCCATCAGGCCGAGCACGAGGTGAGTGCCAGTCCACCGGCCACAGCCGGAACTGTAGCCGTAGCCGGATTAGGAACCGGAACTGGAATCGGGCAGGTTTCTAATTTTCATCCGGCTATACCGGCGCTGACTCTCACACCCGCAGAACCCGAGGAACGACCCCGACTTGCCAATGGCGTGCTTCACTAAGGTGGAGAGGGGCCATCAGAAGCACAACCACAACCACATTACCACCACCTCGGGCCTGGGACGATCGAGTAGCATTTAGCACAGGGCCAAGAGCCAACGAAACCGCCAACACCGTCAGCACCACCATAATCACCAACAACTCCATTGCCACCACCTCCACCCGTCCGCCATTCGAGATCCGAAGCGAAAGAAACCCCCCCAGCCCCAGCCCCACCCCCAGACCAGAGTAAACCCGCCACCACCATCCCCCACTGTCATCACTTCCACCACCCCCCAGGTCACCGAGGTGTGAGGGGTGAGAGGTGTGAGGCTTCCCTTGCTTGCAATGCTGCAATGCTGCAATGCTGCGATCCTGCGGCAAACGATAGGCGATTAAATGTAAGCGATATACGATAAACGATTAACGATAAACGATAAATAATAACCAGTGTCTGTGTATGTGTTCCTTAAGCGTATATAAATATATGAATACATTTTTTTTGTAGCACTAGGCTTAGGGATACAAATACAACTTAATCGAAAATGCATCAATAATCGGAAGAACCGTAAGAAAGATAGCAAAGCGATACCAGAAGTTACTACCTATCGATAGGTAAAAACTTCAAACCGACTATCGCTGAAAAAAAAACAAAATAGCTTGGGAAATATATGTGTGTGTATGTCGCAGGATTAAGATAATTAACCAACCATATTTACTGATGCAAATATGATGACGTCGCAAATGGATACCTTGCCATATGATAAGGAAGGAGCTAGTATACTCTAGTTTTAGATGCATTTCACAGACAAACAGAACAGGCACAGAACAGAAACATCAGAATCTACATCAACAGACAGACATATAGACTAACATCCAGACAGACAGATGAGACGAGACACACAACACAGCGAGAGAGAGCTAGACGGTATGATGATATACAGACATACAATACTTATATATACACTTGCATATAACTATATGTGAATGATATTTATGTAAACGACGTATTTATGTATACACGCGTAATTTTAAGCGAATATATTTATATATGCATATATGTATCTATTGATTATAGCATTTAAGTGTGCGCAAGAGGAATCCCCCGATTCCCCAGATTCAGATCGGGATCCTAGGATCCTAAGGTCTAGATCTAGATCCATCTGACATCCTGATGAGCCCTTTCGTCTGACGAAACTGTATTGAATTGTGTGTGAATTGAGATTGAATTGAATTTGATTGTTAAGTTAATTAATTATAGTTCTACTTTTAATTCTAGTTATAATTCGAGAACTAAGTTATCTAGTCATCTAGAGTAATCGATGCGATTTGAGATTTAAGGTTACCCCGCCCTTGGTTGTCAGTCTGAAGGGGAAGACCCGTGGCCCCCCGAACTCCAGTTGACCCCTTTGACCCCTTGCAGCACGCGTAGCTAACTTAACTAAATGTGTGTACCTAGTATTAAAACAAAGCAAAGCAACCGAAACTGTTCAGTGATGTCTATTTACATTTACCCAGTGCAACGAGCTCGTTAGTAGTTGCTGCGCAAACCCATGGCTAAGCTATGGACTGCATTGCAACTCACAACTTACAACTTACAAATATCTAAATGTATATCTACGTAACGATGGAACAGGATACAGGCAGTTTGCTTATAACGAGTAGCGGCGAAGGCGTAGGTCGAACCCTTCGAAATTCACGAGGAGTTTCAAGAGAGCAAGTAATTTATTTTGGCAGCGACTTTAGTGAATATATAACCCGGGATAAATTCTGAAAGTATATCGGAGCGATATATTGGATAATATTATGGTTGCTGAGATCCTCCTCGTACAGTTCCATGCGATTTTTAAGAAATTCCTACTGAAACATAATAGATCCATAACAGTTCCATGGTACTTGAAATACTATATTACGGTCTTCTTTTCTTATATTTTGGGTTACTTTTTCAAAACACATTCTAAGCAAGGAAGGAAGCTTCGGCATGCAAAAATTTAAATACCCTTGCGACTAAAACCATATCATGCAGTTATCATCAGAAGCAAATGTAAATGTGTAAATGTGACAGATTTTTACAAAAACAGACCGATGACAGCTATATAATTTGTATGGGTATTATGGGTATTTCCAGGATGTCGGACGTGACAGTTTTTTGACTTTAACTTTAAAAATAAGAGTGATTTTTGTCGCGTCCATTAATCTCTTATTTTATTTATTTCTAAAATCTGGCTGCACATACCCTTCATTTTTTTCTCCATAAAAAAAAGAACGTCAGAGCTATATAACAAAAAAAAAAAAGTGCAAAATATATACTCCGTCACCCCTATTTTTAAAGTTAAAATAAAAAACTGTCACGTCCGATTTCTTGGAAATGCCCATATGGGCAATTCTCGGAGGATGTCAACCAAGCCAAAAAGCTTCAAAGTTGATAAGAACATATTTCTATATAGTTTTGCTTTGATATTTGATTCTAGCTAGACAGATCCTCAACTAATTTAATCATTTCGAGTATCCTTGCATAATTTTTTACGATAATACTTATGATATGGACTAAAAGATATTTTATTTATTTTTGTGGTATTTTTTAAAGTTGCTTCTAAACCGTTTTTTTGACGTTAAGGCTAAAGAAAAACCACCTAACAAAAGAATGAAAAAATTTGTGGCGTATACATAGCTTGCAACATTCACTTAAATGCAAAGCATAAAAATGTCGCGGGCGACAGCAGAGAATTGCCCATATTTTAATGGTACATTTTTTTTAAAATTAAAATTTTTTTTATTCTTAAAGAAAAACTTTGCTTTTTATATGTAAAAAACAATTGATTCCTTAGCCTGAAATATTAAAAATATGTCCAGAAATAACCAGGCTATAGTTTTTTCGACCGATTTTTGGTATGTATAAGTTTGGAATCATGAAATCCAAAAAAAATGTTATCTCTGGAATAGAAGAACATTTTATTTCGAATCACAATCCTTCAAAATCATAATAACCTCAGCAAGGGTATACAAAGTGTTAGGTTTTTTTCTGATTAGTAAAAATGTTATCGTAGAAAAGGCCATATTGTCAAATGTGTTAAATAGTTTTAAAACTAAATTGTAATCTCAAACAAAGTTCTTAAAATGTTACATTAAATCTGTTGAAGAGAAAAGTTGAACAACCAATGGGTGACTGATGAACACCATGGATCATTATATCAAATAACAATATTTCAAAGGCCTTACACTAGCCGTTACAAAGTTATTGAACACACTGGCCGGGATATCAGAGAATATCCCTGCATTTGGCAGCTACTCAAAGGTGAATAATCACATTGTATGGAACTTAGGTCCTTTTTGTTTTCGTTTTCCAGAGCTCAGCTCAAAGCCAAGAGAGAAATTAATATTTAGGAAAATAGATGAACGAATTGAGAAAAGGCGAAAAGTCAGGCAACTAGAGGCATTTAGGACACCACAAACCCGGAAATCAGAACAGGCAGCACGAAGGCAAATTAAGAGTATCCCAAAATAGAGTCAGAGCAGATGGAGTTTAAACGAATAAACCATACCATACAATGCATAACTTACCGTAAACCGTAAATCGTAAACCGAAAACCGCATTCAAAATTCCCAATACGGCTAAACAAAATTAAATTGGTGTCACATGTTAAATGAATAAAACGAATTTTAGGAAATCTGCCAAAAACGACTTTCAATGGGTAAAAGGGTAAAAGTCCAAGGTTATGTCCAAAAAAATCTTTATTATTAAACTATAGTTAACAGGAAAAAAAAAGTAGGTTTTGTAGAGGCGTGGGAAAATGGAAGAGCAGCGCGATCATCACACAGCAGCAGGAATAATACCAAAAGCATCCTTACAGCTAAACCCTAAGACTAGTCTCAGTTCCCGGATCTCTCTCTCTCTCTCTCTCTCTCTCTGACTTCGGAGAGGTGGGGGGGAGTCCACCCCCTACCAAGGTCGCCACACCACCAGTCGCTGCTGGACGAGCTCGGCCAACTGGCGCTGCCTCTGTCGCTTTCTCTCGAAGATCTGGTGGCGAATTTTCAGCAGGATGCTATCACGTGGCGCCGTCCCAGCTGAACTGGCGGCAGTGGCAGGCGAGGAGGAGGAGGATTGCTGGAGCTGCTCTATGAACTCCATATCCATTTCGTTGGGCGGCGTTGGAAAGTGATCCTTCTTCCGATGGTCCTGCTCCTGGTCGTCCATCTGATCGGCAGCCATATTGCATTGATATTGCAGCTTGAAACGTTGGCGCTAAAAAGTGTAAGTGAAGGAAAAATCAATTTTAAGAAAATTTTTTTTTATTTAAATATCTAGTACGCGTCTCCAAATTATTTCCAAATTTAGGTTTTTTGTTTTAGATTTTTATGTGAATCCGTTCTGTTGGATTTTAGCTACTTCCCGTTTTTTTGTGCACACTTTTATATAGTAAACTTTAAAAAACTTAAGTTTTGCAAATGTCAAGACTTCTTGTTTAATTTTCCATTTTCCAATCCTATGGATTTCATTCGATTTTTAATAAACTCGATTTTAAACGTTTCCTGTACTTTGTTTTTTATTTTTTTTTTGTGCTCACCTTCTTGCGTGCCGCATTCTCGGCCAGAAATCGGCAGAGCTGCTGCAGTTGCTGCTCCGCCAGCTCCTCCTTATCCTTATCGATGGGATTGGTGTGCTGATCTTGATCCTGCTCCTGATCCTGATCCTGTTCCTGCACCAGTTGATCCTCCAGGCGACGCTGCCTCTGGCGCTGCTTGATGGCCGCCTGCACCTTGCACCTGGTGGCCGAGCTCAGGCTGAGATCCATGCTGCGTTGCTGCTTCAGTATCTTGTAGATGACGCCCATCGAGGTTGGTCTTTGGTCTGGTATTATACTATATCTCCGATATGCGAGCGCGTCGGGCTGCGGCCAAAGACTGTCCCTAGCCGCTCGCCCACCACGTCATTTTATATGTGGCACGGCTCTCTTACGGTTTTGTTTTGGAGACCCAAGAACCAAGACCGAAGACTCTCCCAAAAGATTAAAAATAAAACATAACTTGTGGGCCCATGTGTTTCCTTCTTCTTCTGCTTTTACTTTTGCTGGTGCCGCACATTGCGCGCCAAACTCGAAACTCCGACTCGAAACTCCAACTACAGGCCGTCCGCTTTATGGGACATTGCTCAAGTGGAGTCGATTCGGTTCTATTTTCTGCTCTCATTACAATGCCTTTTAACAGCGCACACAACACATGTGGCAGCGCCGAAAATAGACTCGCTCCTCACACAGCTGCAACACTTTCGCTGCACCGACCGCTGCAACATGCAACATCGGGAAATCGGGGAGTCGGGGAATCGGCATCAGCGCATGTGGCCGTCGCGCAGTCAAAGTCTCATTCCCATTTCCATACCCATCTCCTTCTCCAAACTCAAAATCCGGGTCCTTCTCCTCCATCATATCCATTCCCAAATCTCGAACCGAATTTTTTCATAGCAATCCGCTACGAGAAACCGCATGTTTTGGCGCCTGTTTTCGATTTGACAGGGTAGCTGGGGTATACCACACACATATACAATTTTAAATGGCGATCTAACGATCATTATTTGGTAATTTATATATAATTAATTTGGTATTTAATATGCGAGTTTTTAATAATCAATATTTCTGTATAATGATTTTTTTTATTAAATGTACCATTTAAAACTATTATATTACCACTTATTATATCTTTAATCCAAGATGAAATCTTCTAAATTGATCCGGCTTTAATCGATATTGCTTAATAAAAGATTCAGTAGTAGTAGTTTAATTTCCAGGATGTCCTGACAGTTTTTGTTATTATTTTATTTATTTTTTAAAATTAGTCACTTTTATTTTTAAAGATAAAGTCCAAAAACTGTCACGACTGACATGCCGAAATGCCCATATTTCATTACAGATTTTTTAGAATATTTAAAAAGTACATATTTTAGGTGCACAGAGAAAATTATCAAAAGTTTTAGGTGCGAAACAAGGGGTGAAACATTTTAAAAAGTAAAACGCTTCATACAAATTTTATTTTACTTTGAATTTTAAAAATTTTTTTTAAAACGTTTTTATATGAAAACGGCAGCTAAAACGTTGTATAATTTTCTCTGTGTGGTGTATCTCAAAACCAATAAATTAACGAAGCCAGTAAATATTTCAAACGCATTTATTTATGATGTAATCTAATCAAAGGAAAAATTTCCATTTTTCTAACTCCTTGAAAGTAATAATAATTTCCTGGGCCTCCATCAAAAGCAGGGTACTTCTAAGGGCGGGAATCTCCCCAAATGCATCATCGGCGAAGTCAACAGAGTCGTGTAGAGCGTCATAATCGTAGTGCCGCAAGATGGGATCCGATGGGATGGGATGGGATCGTATAGGATCGGCAACGGAATACATATTATAAATAGCGCCTGGGAAAAAACACTTTGCAGCGGCAACTCATCTGTGTGTGCGTGTCTGTGTCACGGCATGCACTTGAACTCTGCATTCACATGTTGTGTGTGCAATGCAACTTACTCCCCATCCCTCTCTTTCTATCTCTCTCCCTCCATCCCTCTCACTCGCACCCCGGTACTCGTACTCGTACTATCGCATGCCTGACGTGCCTGCGCCTGGCCCTATATATATACGCATATATTATTGTTGGTCTCTCGGACTCTGATGTTTTATTTGGACTTCAAGATGTTTCAGAGTGCACTTCAAGTGCGTTACAATTTGCGTCTATTTTTGGCCGCTTGGGAATATCTCGAATAGAATTTGGGCGGGGGAGGGGGTTGTGGTAGGAAAACGGGAGTGGAGCGTACAAAATACCCAGATAACGGGGATTTTTATAATGTATATCATTGCCCCGACAACCCCATCCCCATATCGCCACAAGATGGGGCATAATTGAAACATTTTTAATGGGCAACTTTATGGGCGTTTCAGCCCATTGTCCATGGAATTAGATCCGCCGCCAGGGAAAAGGGATGCCTGATTGTCGCAGTGATAAGCGCACAGTGGGCCCAGTTGCCAGAGGAAAAACAATAAAAGTTATTGGTATAAAATCTCAAAATTACCCTTTAAAGTGATAGATTAAATACCATAAAATTTAAATATGATACATGTTATAATTTTTGCAATAAAAAGTATTTAATAATAATAATCCTTCAAAGTAATTGATTAAATACGGTACATACCACAGTAAACAGATAGCTTAAAATACAACATATTTTTTTCACTTTTTTATTTATGATTACCACTGTGCCCCCAAAGATCCCTTCTCGAGGGCCCGATTTGCGCGTGCGACTTCCCCTTCCCGCCGTGTAGAAGACTCTCCTTAAGTGTGTCTGTTCTTGGATTTCATTGGGATATACTACATACATAAATGTTCGTTAGCCCCATTAGCCGAGGATTGTGGACTAAAACGTCTGTTACAAATGTAATTTCGATACTCCACTCGGGGGAGGGAAACTGAAGCCCTTCTTCACTTGACTCAGATCTCGGATCGCTTGGCTTCACTTGCCTCCTTATCTGTCCTCCAAACTCTGGGGACAATCCTTGGAGTGACAATTAGCTGTTGGCCTGGGAAAACATTTCCCACAACTTCGGTCGATAGGGGGAATAATCTTCTGGGGGCTCTATTCGTAGAAGCGAAACGAAACGAATCGAAGCGAACCCAACAAGTGCAAGGTCCCTGTCCCCTGAGAGGGTAATAAAAATATGTCTCCCTATACCACCGTTTGTCCCGGGCTAATCGATACTCGATACGATCCATAATTTATGTGCTACGCGTCTATTTCTGGACTTCCGCTATTCTCCTCGAATCGCAGTCAATGGGGTTCTACAAGCTTGGTTTTGTGAAGTCTGGAATCTGGTTATGCGATCCCTGTGACCCACTGAAGCCATGCGTTGAATGCCCAACGCGTCGTTGAGCGCGAAAAGTTGAGAAGCTGTCGAATGTCACGCGGTATGCGGTGGGCCCCCCGAAGAGCGCGCCAATTTCCCATTTCCATTTTCCGACGCCCCACCTCCCCACCACCACGCTTTATTTCCCACGCTCCCAGTGAAAAGTGAAAAGTTGAAGGGGGAAGCCCTGACAAGTTGTCAGCGGGGCTGTTAATGAGCTGCGTGTGTTGAGTGAGGACGTGATGAATCTACACTGCCTAAGTAATCCCCAGGTTCTCGAAGTTCGGGCGAGAGATCACAACAAGAGATCTTGTAATCTATGTAATAAAGCTGAACTACTCGAGAGGATTATCTTGAAGCAATACCATATCTGTAAAACCCGAATTTCCAAACTACAATTTGCATTGTAAGACTTTTGAATTTTATTACGATATTAACAGCCTAAGTTTCTTATATCATTTACAATAATATCATTTATATCCTTATATAACCTCTTTTGGTGAGGGTATTTTTGCGCACGAGCAGAACAAACAGCGATGAGCGATCAAAGTTCTCTGGCACACAACATGTGTCGACTCCTCCCTTAGGAAACTTTACCCCTTTCCCCGCGTTTAATAGCTTGCCTCAGCAGCTTGCCGCACTCGCGTGCACCATCGAAAGTGGGAGCCGAGCGTGGGAAAGCCGCGCTTGCCGCAATCTCAAAAGGCCTCTCTGCAGAAAGATCAACAAAAACAAGGCGATCTGTGATGCTTCAGCTGAAGCCGCGCGGAAGCCACCGCAGAAAAGCCAAATAAACAGAGAAGCCCCCGAGAACTTCGAGAATTCTTCTCCAGCTGTATAAGTTGTATAATAGTCAAATGCACAGAAAAAATATTTTATAGGCTTAAAAAAAAAATAAATAAATTAGAATAAAGAATAAATATATTTTTTAAAAGTTTTTTTCAGAAACACCTGTTAGTTTTAAATATTTTAATTAGTTTGAAGAAATTTAATCTCAAAAATAATCTTTCAATTAAATAGATATTTTTTTATTGTGCAAATATTTGGTGGCTATCAAAACCGGATGTGGTCTTCCCCCGCTGCACCGGACACCTCTTAACCACCCAAGTGACCGGTACTCCCCCTGGTTCACGATCCACGATCCCTGGGCAAATGGAGTAAACAAATGTGGACGAACAATTATGCCATCGACACTTTTTCCTCAATGAAGCACGCATCTGCGGACGCGTCGCTGCTTTGATTGCAGAATTGCTGTCAGAAATCGGAGACGATTGGTGCAAAAAATGTTAGCGAAGACTAAAAAGTACCTCGCAGCTAAAAAATAAAAAACTTAAACAATTATAAAGGAAATAAAAAGGATTCCACTGAAACTTATAACTCAGCTTAAATATAGAGATATAATTTTTTAATTGCCAAGAAATATTTATTAACTTTATTTATTTTATTAGTTACCTAAAATCATAATTATGGTTTATTTAATAAGTTTACAAAATGGTTTCACATTTTCTTTCCATAAAACCAATACGCCCAGTACTCCGCTAATGGGCGCATATCAAAGCTGGCGCTGCTGCTCCACTTCGCTGTTTGCCATTCAGTCGCTCGAGATTCGGAGGACGAGTTGGGCCAGGCTTACGATGTCGAGTCCCAAGGAGCAGGAGAAGGAGCAGGAGAAGGAGCAGGAGCCGGAGAAGTCCCATGGACCGAAGGCGGGGGCCATGTCCAGGACGCATCAGTATCGCAAGGTGATGAAGCCACTGCTGGAGAGGAAGAGGCGGGCGAGGATTAACCGCAGTGTGGAGGATCTGAAGAATCTTCTTAAAGAGATAACCCAAATGGTGAGTGTTTGGTTCTAAAATTTTACAGAATATTAGATTAAAATATTCTATTTATTCAGGACGCCGAGACATTGGCCAAAATGGAGAAGGCCGACATTCTGGAGCTGACCGTCCATCATCTGCACAGGCAACTCGGCAATTCTCCGGCCACGCCCATCATCACCGCCTCCGCCTCCCGAACCGAGCATATGGCAATGGAGCGCTACTGGAGCGGCTTTCGACAGTGCGCCCTCGAAGTCTCGCGATTCCTGCAACAGAACAACTTTGACCTCAACGAAAGATTCGTTGAGGAAATGGAGCAGCTGGTGCCCGCCGAGGCCTTCCTCTGGCGCCCTTGGTAGCTATAGTAGGGGGGTTTCCAAAAAAAAAACGATCCCTACCTCACCATTTTAAAATGGACCTAACCGTATTATTGCTCTGGGTTAGCTGAATGTGTAAAAAGTTTAGCAATAGCTTCATACCCTCATCATTCACTTTTATTATGTGTAAAAAAAAAAAAAAATATAAAATTAAATATCTTCTAGAAATTTATCTTATATTTTCTTTTTATTTTAATCGTCAAAAATTAAAGATTTTAGATTTGAACGCTAATCGATTGCGAATTAAATTACGAGCTCAGCAAGGTATGACATCCCATATTTGGACACTTCGCAGCTTTGTTATGGACAAAATACAGTTTTTATACCCTTGCAGAGGGTATTATGATTTCAGTCAGAAGTTTGCAACGCAGTGAAGGAGACGTTTCCGACCCCATAAAGTATATATATTCTTGATCAGCATCACAAGACGAGTCGATCTAGCCATGTCCGTCTGTCCGTCCGTCTGTCCGTCTGTCTGTTTCTACGCAAACTAGTCTCTCAGTTTTTGAGCTATCGGGACGAAACTTTCGCAAAAGTCTTCTTTCTATTGCAGGTAGTATATATGTCGGAGCCGACCGGATCGGACAACTATATCTTATAGCTCCCATAGGAAGGATCGGAAAAAAAAACTTTAAAAAATTCTAGCTTCGGTGTTTTTGAAATATTACCTTCTACTTTTGGGGATGTTATTTTTTAAATATTTCTGAATTTCGAATTAATTATTTAAATCGGACTACTATATCATATAGCTGCCATAGGAACGATCGGAAAATTAATGGAAAAGTAATAGGAAATAAATACTAGTTTCTTTGATTTTTATTGTATTATCTTCTACTCTAGGATATGACTCTGTTAAATATTTCCGAATTTCAATTTTAATTTGATCAAAATCGGACGACTATATCATATAGCTGCCATAGGAACGATCGGAAAATTAATGAGAAATATTAGAAAATTGAACTTTTTTGCGATTTGTTAATTAATAGGAATGATCTGCAAGGGTATATAAGCTTCGGCTGGCCGAAGCTAGCTTCCTTTCTTGTTTCTTTTCGCAATAATTCCAAAAACTTGTTAATTATATGTGTGTATGTAGAATGTAGAATGTGTAGTGTGAGAATGAGTTGCCGCTTGTGTTTTTGTTTTATTTGTTTAGAATCGATTTAATTGTTAATAAACATTGCTTAATGCATTCGAATGCTAAATTAAGTATTGCTTATGTTGAAGTAAGGATTTCTTCTGTTATCTTTTCAGTATCGTTAACGTCATCAATGTAGTAGCTTAATAGGTACCAAAAAAAATACATATCAATAGAGTAGTCGACAAAAGATGTTTTTGAGTTTGAGATTATCTTTAAGCTTCCTATTGGCCTTTATAGCATAATACGTGTGAGTGTCTGGCCGTGAGTATGGGATTTTCTTAGAGCCTAAGTCCGATTTTCTTTTTTTTAGGGTTTTCAGGGCTCTCAAACTTTCTGCCCTTGTATGTACAATATATAAGTATGTGGCTCACAATAATTTAGAGTTCGAGTGTAAGAAGCGCGAAAATTGATTGTTGCTGCAGTTTGTTTTAGTTTGGTTTTCCATCGACCTGTTGATTTGTATCTGTTGCATATATGTATAGGTATATTCATAGTTTCGTATATATATAGATATCAATATCTTCTCAGCTTCGCTTGATTTTATTTTATTTATTTCTTCCTTTTTGCTTTTTTTTATTTTTCGACGACAGGAAGGCATGCAAACTTGTGCAGTGTAGGTGTGGTGTTTTCTTAAATTCAAATCGTTTCCAACAATTAATCTAGGCAAAAACAATTTGCAAATTGCACAAGTAAAATACAAATGGGGACTTCTATATAATAATAGATGTATGTATAATTATCATTATTTGTGTGTGTATATATATATTTATATATATTTCTCTCCCTATATGTATATATTTAAGTGTGTATATCAATTTATTTGGCCATTATCTAGGTATATATTTAAATACGAGTGTACAACTAGAAATATGTATCGGGTGCTGGGCAATCAAAACAGTATGGCGGAAACCTCGGAATCGGATTTTGAATCGGAATTTCGGTGTCAGAGAGGATGAGACAAGCATTATCTAGGGCCGATCCAATCTGAAACCTCAGCGACAAAGCAAAAGTCTTTAGATTTTGGATTTTGGTTTTGGTTTCTAAGCAGGAAGCAGAATTTAAGTCCAAACCTAGGGAGTTTTCTACAAGGCAACATTATAATTGGGGGACTAATGCATTATGAGGGCGAGGTGAGTAAATAGGGATAATGGTAAATGGGTTCTTATAAACGTGAGTTCAGTTAACCGGCTGCAGGAGAAAGTTCCTTTACAAAGTTCTTCTTACAAAGTTCTTCGTTTACAATCTAAAGCTGAACCACATATAAAATATAGAAATTATTTTAGCATGGTGATTAGATGGCTCTCCTTTCGAAATCGAAATAGAAGAAGGAGCAGCTCATCAAACGAAAAGGATAACCGAAAAGAGAATAATGTGTGTATCAGAGAGAGATGGAGCGATAGAGAGAGAGATAGAGAGAGAGAGTGAGTCGATGATTGGGGCGATAGTTTTTGGTTTGTTTTGGTTTTTGGTAAGGCATTGGAGGGGATTAGATTCCCCCATACGATACGATATACTTTCAAGCTCTGGTGAGGTGTAAAACCAAGTACAAATACAAGTAGGAATACACAATTTGATATTATCGTTGCTCTGATAAGGCATGCACAATAAACACATAGAAAAGGGTTAAAGTTCTATCAAAGATTCTTCTAAGAGTCTACTCCTCTTGTCCCTCGAATGCTTGTGATGAAATCCTTGGGTGACGGAGTGAGGAGAACCATTCAATGGTCCATAGCAAAATCAGGTTGATTGTCAAGCTCAATGAGGGGTGTTGAAGATTGAAGAATGGAGAATGGAGACTGAAGAAACGGAGGAACCAAGAGGAGTACTTAAGCCGCATGCTGGTTATCGCTACGTTATCCACATGCAAGTGTGTCCACAACTTTTTCAGGACTTCCAGAGTTATATCCGGATTATCTGATTATCTTGAGAGTAAGTAGGTCTGTGTGTGGTGTGTCGGTGTGTGGAGTCTTCAGCTTACTATAGTTGTAGCTTCAAATTTCGATTATCAACACGTTCGATTATCAACAGTTAGAGCTGCTGGCCCGGCGAAAAGAAACAATCGATCGACACGTCATCGTCGATAAGCCAATAGCGAATTAGTATCGGTATATGTATCCGTATATAAGTAATGTTTAAATATTATGTATTATCCATATTTAGGTAGAGTAGCTGTTTTTTTGTGGGTTTCGCAAAAAAATTCCAACTATTCGCTGGCTATCGCTATGACTATCGCTTGGCTAACGGCACTTATCGATAGTTGTCAATTTGAATTTGTCGTTTGCTTGGCAAGCATTTCAATAAAAATGCCTAAGATCTTTATGGAGCAAGTGCCTAATAGTCAATTTAAGTAGGTTTTCTTTTATTTTTATACCTATATTTAACCATACTTGCCGCACGCACATTAATATATATATATATATATATACTATATATATTGTATATTCAGTATGTTTTTAGAAAAAGCGTTTCTTTGACCTAAATTGGTGTTCTTTTCTTTTCAATTAGTTTGCGATTTTTTTTCTTTTAACCATTTTTTGTTTGTTTTTAAGCTTTATGCGGCTTGGCTGTTGTTAATTGAATTTGTATGTAAATATGCGTAAATAATTTGCTATTAGTTGGAATTTCACTTAAGACGAGTGTGTGTGTGTGTGTGTAAGGGGGAGCGGGAGGATGGGGGCTAGCGAAGTACCCCCCCCCAAAAAAGGTCAAATGGCATATGGTACACGGGTTTTTGGGCGTGCTTGTGGGGGGGTTCGATCTTCGGATCGCTGATTCGTGTTCTCCTATCACCGTCACTATCGCTCCCTTCCCGCCCCTCCGAATCCGAATCTGAACTACAGGTCCCGCGGTTAATCACCACCTAAACTTAACGCCTGCACTATACGTGGATCAGCTTTACTGCCCTCGCGGAACTCCTCGAGCGTCAGGCGATCATCGTGGTTCTTGTCCATCTGATCGAAGATCTTGTCCACCCGCTTCTGCGGCGTATTCTCGTCCTCCGTCTGCTGCTGCTGGCCCTGCAAGCGAGTGTTCACTGTACTGTACTGTGGTCAAAGCAAAAGCGAAGGCGAATACTTACTACCATCTGGTAGATGGCATCCACTATGTTGTACATCTCCTCGCGGGTTATGTAGCCATCGTTGTCAACATCGTACAAACGGAAGGCCCCTGTTGAAATGTTTAATGGTCAATATTAGTAATGGAATCAAACTTAGACTACCTAACCTAAGGCTAAGGGTTAGTACAAAAATGGATAGCAATATCGATATTATCGATAATTTTTAAATTCAGCTAAATAATTTAATTTTACATTTTTTATCAAGAAAATGCAAGTATTTCCATGTTTTTTTTAGAACGTAAAGGATCAACATTGAACTTTATTTCACTTTAATCCAGGTAAAATGTAGATCGATTTTTATACCCTTGCAGAGGGTATTATAATTTCTGTCAGATGTTTGCAACGCATCACAGTGGGGCGAAAAAGCCGAAAGTCTGCCTTAAATCAGCGGAGCCCTATAGCGATTATCTTTTGATGAGGTATTGTTAAAGGCAATTAAGTATATAAAAAAACATCATAAGGTGAATTTTTTTAGTGAAAATTTGTTGTTGTAGGAAATTTTTAAGAACAAAAAAATTGTTTTTCTAAGAAAACAAATAAAAAAAAATTACTTACAGGGTTCTAAGTTTCCCAATTTTTTTTTTTTAATTTAACTTGATTTTTGAAAAAAACCAATTATTTAAATCGGTCAATTATATTTGATAGCTGCCATATACTCATAAAAATATCTTTCTACATTTTAGAAAATCGCCCTAAAAAAATTTTGGCCCTTAAACTGAGAAAAATTTTCAATTTTCACGACAAATTTGCCATAAATTCAAGGCAGGTGGCCATAAGAAAATCTTTTTTGGCGAATTGGATCGGACCACTATATCTTAAGGCTCCCATAGGAATATTCAAACAAATATAAGACAATTTATTGTAATTTTGTAGGAAGTAGGCGTATTGATTCTTGACAACTTAAAACGAAAATTTAAACAAAAACACTGAATCTGGAATCCCTGGAACTGCACCGAGTGAGCATTAAACTATAGGTATTTACTTTATCTGCAAGGGTATATAAGCTTCGGCTGGCCGAAGGTAGCTTCCTTTCTTGTTTTCAATAACTTTTAAGACGTAAGCATATATTTTCAATGACACATATTTTGAGTTTTCCTTATCGATATTACCGATACTATATATTTTAACCATTTACTTACAGTGCAGCTTCTCGTCCAGATTACCGCGTGATGTTATGGACAGGGCCCGAATGAACTCCTCGAACTCAATGGCGCCATCCTGCAGATTCGCATAGATATAAGTATATAGAGGAGACATCTAATCTATTGTCACCATACTCACATTATTCTCATCGAAGACACGAAAGACCAGGGAGGCAAACTTGCTGGGGTCTCCGTCGGGGAAGAATTGCTTGTAGATTTTGATGAAGCCCTGCGGGGAGAGAGCGAGAGGGCACAAGCAGCAGACAGAGACGGGAGATGGGGCGGAGGAGAGAGGAGAAAGCGGTTAGACAAGTAAATGTTTGCTATTGCCATCGACTGGGGTTCAGTGGAGTTGAGTTGAGTTGAGTAAGCAAGTGAGAACTAGACACATAAAATAGCATTAGAGTGAAAATTTCGAAATTCTCCAGTTAAGTGAAATAAACGACTAGTGGGTGGTGTTTTGACTTTGACTTTGGCTTGGTTTGGTTTGGTTTGGGGGGCGATAAGGTATGCTTTCGTATATGGAATATGTAAGTGTAAGCTCAGCAAACGGAAATTTATGGGGCAAGTCCTCTCCTCCGCTCAGGACGAGAATGCAGTTTATTTGCTGGCGTTGCAGCTCTGAATCGAAATACTTGTGAATGTCAAATCAATGAATGGATTACCCCGCCTCCGGACTCCGAAGTCCGAAGTCCAAGGTCCAAAGCCCGGACACATGCATGTATCGTACAACATGTATTTATTTTATTCATGCCACAAAAGTCAGCCACAAAAAAGCACCGAACGTTGAAAATAGGGACAAACCGCATTTCAGGATTTTCGGGGCGGTGTGTGGCTTAAAAATAAATGTGTGTAAAATGTATGCAGTTTGCCGGATAAGAGGATTCCGTTTGTGGTCGGTTATGATGAAAGCCATGACGATGATGATGATGATGATGATGATACGGGAGGGGTACTCACTTGTTCGGTCAGCAAGCCATTCGGACAGTCTTTGAGAAAGCCCTTGTGCCTTCGGTGTGTCAGAGGTCAGAGATCGGGATAGCGGATAGCATAGCACACAGAGAGTTCACAGGAAGAGACAGCGGGTGTATAGAGATAAATAGATTAGCATAAGGGGACAGATAGAAAGAGAGAGAGAGAGAGAGAGAGTGGGAGAGAGAGAGAGAGGGGGCCAGAAATAATATAGATCAAAAATTAAATTAAAAACCAATAATTGTGGCTGCCACACAACAAATGAAAGATAAATATTGGCCCCGGAAAATGTTTACCTCCGGGAAAAACTCACTCGCACACGCTTTTGCATTTTAAATTGTGTTTACATTTTATTTCGTGCTGCCATTGCCATTAATTTCGAACTTTTCCTCGCGCTTTCCCCATTTTCCAACCGCAGACAGCAAGATCAAATTTGCTGCAATCCCACCATTAATTATGGCCACACAAATGCAACGGCAAATGAAACATTTAATTCCAGGACGCGTAATCGAATTGAACGAGAAATTGCAAAATGCCCGAACACAAAGGGAAAAAATCGAACAAAAATCGAAAAAAAGGGAAAAGGGAGAAATCCATGAAAATGCTTACCATTGACGAATTTCCTTTTCAGTGACTGCAAAGAGAGGGAGAATTTCCAGATTAGTTGAGCAATTGCAGATGGTAACAATAAAGCAGCGGGCTAAGCGGCCGCACTTAGTTGCGCCTCAAGGGTCCCAAAGGCTATCATTCTTAATATCAACATCAAGCCAACACCCCGATATCAATCCCATACCATCCTATACCATCCCATTCCTCTTATCCCGCACTCAAGTGCCTTCGCTGAGCCGCTGAGTTATGGCGGCTTAAGTTGCTCTAAGGCTAGACTGCCCTTGGAGATTGATGGCGTTCACTTGACAGGCTTAGCGGACACGTCCCCCCATTCTCCACACCCGTGTATCAGTGCTTTTCCCGATGCTGCTGATACCCGCGCCACGCTGCGTATGAGTAATATGCAGGCGCAATTTACGACCAGTCATAGGGAAGTGCATCAGCCACGGTGAGTGCACAGCTCATTTAATAAATCATTTAATTAATTACAACCTTTCAGGGCTACCTTTACGCGGCGCAAAATGAATGGAGTTATGTGTACTATCTCCAATGGCGCATAACTCACATGGAGCCATTTCGTAATCTAATAGGCTAAGCCATAATTTCAAGGACTTTAAGTGGGAAATTCAAAGCATCAGTAGTTCGTATAACTATGCAGGGGAATAAGTCACCAAGCGGTCACACTATCCAAGCCTATCTTGCTTTGGTCACACTGCTTTATAATACGAGGAATTACATTTTAAAGAGAGCTTTATTTTGCCATTCTAATTACTTGAACTTGAGAAACGATTGCTTTAACTTATAGGTCTTCTTTTCCCTCGTGCATTCCCATTTGGTCCCAATAATCATAGTCAACTTTCAGGCACGTGCATAGGCCATAGGATTTGACGAGGAGAAGTGGGCTAAAAGCACTTTGAAAATGAAAAACAAAACGGCACAAAGCTGCTGATGAAGATGAGCTTGGCCGGCTGGATGATGAACGGGGGGCTACCTCCGATAGGTAGACCTTTTTTTGTTCAGGCCCCGCGTTGGGCGCCAATTTTTAACTTCAGCTGCGCTGCACGCAATTGAAATTGGCCGCATATATAAGATACGTATATAAGTAAGGATACGTGTGTGTATATCTGAATAACCCAGAGATTGCCCCGCAGGCTTGTTAAAAGTCTGCGCACGCCAACGCGTCGGCTAAGTAAGCTCCGAGGAGCGTTATCCTTGCGTTATCCTTGTCGCTGTCGATGTCGGCCGACGACTTTTACTGCGGCTACATGAATAATACATATCGCCGGCTGATGGCGGATGGCTGACGGTGCTTGTACTGGTGTTTGTGCTGCGCCGGCAGCAGTAAAGCAAATTAGTACATAGACTGCCGCCAGGACTGGCGAAAATATTTCGATTTAAATGTTTATTTGCACAAGGCGGCAGCGACGGCGGCGGCGGCACAAGCTGTTTGTGGCCCGCAGCGTTTATTCAATCTTTTCCCTTCTTTTTTTCGCTCCCGTTTTATTTTTAAGCCGCACAAAAAGAGCCGAAAATGCCGCCAGTTTGGCCTTTTTGTATTTACTTAATTTAATTTTTAAACTGAATTAATTTCAACTTTTCATACGCAGTGCTGGTGGTGGTGACACACAGCAAGGACCTCCCGCTGGGTGTGGCCACATGCTAATTAATGAATGGGCTAACCCCACCCATCCTTTCTGAAAAGAAAAGTGGGGGAAAACGAGAAGTGAACTTTAAATGAGCTGCGAGCTGCATGCGGGCCAGGCACACACTCACACTCGCACTAGCACTCGGAAAAGCACAAGGACTGTGCGTGTTTTTTGGCCACCAACTCGACAGCCTTGCAGCCAGAGCACCAGCACCGCAAGGATGTGCGTCGTCCCCATACAGTTCGGCTCAAATATTTACCAAACTTGATTAGATCCCAGCGATTCCGAGGCGGGGCAACAAGTGACCTCGCTATATACTCGGCTTAACCCTGGGCACACAGCCACATCGCATGTCTGCGGTTAACCCCTTGGTGGCCTTGCACGCAACTGAAACGCAAGCGCTCACCTGGGGGCGGGGGGTTACGCCCCCATTTCCATTCCCCATCTCAATTCACCACCCCCATCCTTTATCCTCCATTTTCCCAGGCTCATACTCATAGTCATAGTCATACCCATAGTCATAGTCATAGTCATAGTCACACACACCCAGAGCATGGACAAATTGGCCTGGCAACTGGCGAGCAACTAGCCACAGACACAGATCCTATCTGAAATTGGTTCTCGGAATATGGCCCAGATGCCGGTGCATTTACCCACTAATTAATCACGATCATATCTGAAATGAAGTCTAGGAATTCCACGTACGAACATATGAGGCCGCTACACAGCGCAGAACTATCACAGAATTAGTCATCCTAATAATTCATTTTAAAGAAGAGATTATAATTAATTCATATGACAGAAGGTGTTCTTAAATCACTTTTCACTTCTTAAAGAATGCAATAAAATAAAGAATCTCCGCAAAAGTATTGTTGCCTACTTTTAGACACCCTTGCTAGCCTTTTCTTAATACACATAAATTGAATAGTATTCTTGCATTTTAAAACTGACAATTAGACGTTGAGAGTTATGGTTAAATAGTTGAGATTCTTTATCATTATTTTTTAAATAGTAAAAAATCACTGAGGTTCAAAAATTACTTTTCAAGATGTCTCAAAGTATGCAATAAAAAAAAGAACCTCAAAAAATATTGTTGCATACTCTTAGACACCCTTTCCTAATGCACATACTTTGAATCCTATTCTTGCATTTTAAATCTGACTATAAGAAGTTGAGGGTTGTGGTTATATGGTCGAGCTTCTTTAACAATAATAATTAATTTTTAAATTGTAGGAAATCACTGTGGTTCAAAAATCACTTTTCAAGATGTCTCAAAGTATGCAATAAAATAAAACAAATATTGTTGCCTACTTTTAGACTTCCCCATTAGTGATTTCAAACCTCTGGGGACTCCTTCAAAAATGCACTCACAGGGCACAAAGTACCCTTAACCCATTTGAGCAACCCTTTGCCGCTACTACCTGATTGGATTTGCTCTTTTGTCGTAATTGCCTGCTGCATTGCCACCCATTGCAGCCCGATCGTATGGCATATTAGCTGTTCAGTTTCCATTGATTCGATTCATTGCCGTGATTGAGTTTGCCTACGATTCCCCACTCATTGTTCCCGTATTTTGCTGAAACATCGCTGCCAGCTGAAGTTGACTCAAAGCACATCATAATTTCCCATCGATTGGCAATTTTCTAATGTCGTTATATGGCAATGCGCCCAGTTTCAGTTCCAGATCCCCTTTCGCCCCCTCTGCTTCTGTTTCGGGTTCTGTTTCCCTGGCGAATCGCTTTCTGTTTGTTGCTTTATCAATTTGCGTCTATAAACGAGCAGCAGCCAGGGAATGGCAGCAACAGAATGGAACAGAACCGACTAACTGAGTCAATGAATGGACGACTGATGCGAAGGGGGGGGGAGGGGATGGGTGATGGGGTGATGGGGTGCCCACTGCCGGCACCATTAGCAAATTATACACAACATGTGTGCACAGTGGGGCTGGGCTGCCAGGACCAACACAACGGGAAATGGAGACTCGGCCTCAGACCTTCGATCGACTTCTGATTTCTTTTCTTACACTCAACGAAACTTATTTTGTAGATATAAGATAAATGCACACATCACCAAAACTTTGGGAAAACATTGTTATTATTATCGAAACTATCGGAAGAAAAGCTTGAAATAATATCGACTTGAAACCATCGATATTATAGAATCAATACTGTCAAAAATGATCGATCTCAAGCTGCAATCGAAAGCGATCTTACATCATAGGTATAAGATATAAGATATAGATATAAGACAAATGCACACATCACCAAAACTTTGGGAAAACATTGTTATTATTATCGAAACTATCGAAGGTAAAGCTAGAAAAAATATCGACTTGAAAACATCGATATTATCGAATCAATACTGTCAAAAAATCGAAAGCGATCTTACATCATAGGAAATAAACGTCTAATTATAAAAACTAGGTAAAACTCTGAAGATTTCAAATTTCTTAAATCTTAAATAGAAGAAAAAAGGCCAATCTAAAGTTTATTGTACGTTTAAAATATCGTAGTTTTCTAAGAAATATACCCAAAACTACTTTTCTCTGAAAAGGTACAACAAATTACATGGAAAATTGATTACTTGCTGAGCTATTCTAGATTATTATTAAAATATCTTTAAGCTTTCCAAATCACTCGATAAGAAAAGTAGCTATACCCCCAAATAATATCTTTTTCTCTCGCAGTGCTGCGCCTGCTTGTCCCTCGCTGTTCAGCTGTGTTCTGTTCTGTTCTGCTTTGCTTGCTGCTTGTACACATTTGATTTCCACTGCTAAATGCCAGACAAAATGTCAGGACAAGCTGAGTGCTCCCTTAACCAGCCGCCCACTCAATCGAATACCAGCCAGAAGAGGGGAGTGAGGGGTGAACAGGAAGCAGGGAACACAACAAGTGCAATAATAATTTCAACATTGAAGTGAATTTTGAGTGCCAGCCAATGCGTGCGAAATCAGCTGGGAACTGGAGGAGGAGGCAACAGGGCAACGGGGCGGATGAAAATGCGAAATTGTCGGGCAGTGGGTGTTACAGGACATGGCATCCTTACCCAATCCTCGACAGCAACGGCGCTGTCTGTTTGCATAGCGAAATGCATGTGCCAAAGCCAAATGAATGCGGTTCCGAATGCTATGGCAATATGACATTGCTGCAGCGTGTCGTAAGCCAGGGGTGTGGGTTGCAGGGGAAGAGGGTTTTTCTCCCTTGGCAAGGGTCGTGCATTTTAGTTTTATAAGCGATTTGGCCCCAAGTCCCGTACCGCCATTCCCTTCCATTCTGCGACTGTTTGCCGAAGCGTAAAACAAACAGAAATTGACATGAAAGCCATGCATGCTGGGTAGGGGGTGAAGAAGGGGTAAAGAAGGGGTTAGGGAGGGGTAGAGAAGGGGTTAAGAAGGGGTTCCGAAGGGGTGGTAGAAGAAAAAAAGGGTGCAGGCAAATAGCAAATGGAAAGCCATGTGCCGAGCTAAGGGGCGGCGAAAAGTAATCAAATGTTGCACACATTTCAACTTGTTATTCTTTCCCCCGCCAACCACTGAGCCATTGCACTCTAATGCGTCCTTATTGGGTTGCCAGTCCCATTTCCCCTTGGGGAGCTCCTCTTTGTTTTTCAACTCCTCTCTCACTCCTTTCAATTACCCACTTTATGGCAGAGCAATTAAAGTTAAGTCCGAAGTTTAAGTGTAATTTGGGGAATTTCTCGTTGAATATTAAACTATAAATCCAAATATTTACATACAATTAAAAGATAAGCAACGTTGTTTAGCTAATAAGCTCGTTTGTATGCCAAATTCAAAGCTAATGAATTAGTTGTCCTATTGTTTGTGCACTCAAAACCACATTAATGAACCGCCCAAAAGCCAAAACGACTCTTTCAATTTATTGCCATAAAATGGAGACTCAGCTGACCGCTAATCGGAGACCAAGTTGTTCAATAAAATTGCGAATAATATGAAAAGCCCATAAAGGACACAACTTTAAACTTACACATATGCCAGTGAAGTAAGAGGAAGAGTATAAAAGGAAGGGGGCAAAAGTATTGCCTACTTATGTGGGCACTCGAGGCAATAAACAATAAAAGAAACCTCTTAAAGCCCATATAGCCAGGCGCTTAAACTGCAATCGAATGGAGGAGCCTCCAGTGGAGGAGTCTCCGATGCAGGACTCAACCAGCAGGAAGGACGAAGGACGAACATACCTACACACATAGTTGTTGTCCCCTCAGGGCTCTCTGGCATGTGCAACTATTAGAAAATATAAAACTGTATGTGGAAGAAGGGGTTTCTCCATATATACACACTCACACACGCATGCGGATGTCCAAGAGAAATTACATAAAAAATTAAATGGAACACAAGCCTTCGGGGGGCCATGCGCCATGTGCCCAGCAAAAGGAATCGAAGAGTGTTCAACGACCGAATGACCAAGCGACCAAACGTCCAAACAATTTTGCAGCATTTTGCGGCAACTAAACAAATTAGAAAGTTCACAGTTTTCCCTGTGACATCTTAAGGCTTCAAATTGCTGATATTTCAGCTGACAGCCTGCAATTGCAATTTAATTGAACTGTCTTAATCGAAGCTCTTTAAGTGCTCATCTTCTGACAAAGACATTTCTTTCTTTGGCAGCCAAATTAACTTGGTATTTACATAGGGTTTCATATTACAGCTAATGGCCGCTTGAAATTAGTTTAAATTATTATTTAATTGAGATATTTAATCATCTTTTTAAAAATAACAAATTCCCGTATATTTAAATGAATTTTTTTTTAATTCCCATAAATATAAATCCTAATATATTTAAGATTACTTTAGAGATACTGTTTTAAAATGACTTTTTAATTTTTATATTTTATATATATTTAAGCTTATGTTTTAAATTTAATAGAATTCTTTCATTAATAATTATAGACGAGAACTATTTTAATAAATAAATTTTTTAATAAATTCCCATGAATTTAAGTAAATATCTCTTAAAGAATAGGGATATAAATAATGTTTTAAAACAACTTTTCAACTTAGCTAATATTGCTTAAAAAGATTTAACATATAAATAAGCCTTAAAATGTAATAGCGTTTTATTTATCAATCATTAAACGCTTGAGAAATATTTAAATTCGTGATTTATATTTAGAAATAATGCATTATAATTAATTTTTAACTTCTTTTACTAATAGCCAAAAATACTATAACTCTTTTTAGACTGATTAGCAGGCAATTGAATTATTCCCCCCGGCTTTTAATGCGTAAACTATACAGCGTTGGGGTATTTCAGCTAAGTGAAATGGAGTTTGCTGACCAAATCCGAGAAATAATGAATGGCCAGTTGCGGGGAAAATGAAAATGATTCAAAGGATTGCAGCGCGAGAACTTTCCAGCTGATATATGATGGCAACGGGGACATTACCGGAGCTGCCAAAAAGGCTTTCAGGCGACCGAACCGAACCGACTCGTAACTCATTCCCGGGGACGGGGAGTTCAAGGCTGTCAGAAACGCACCCGTGATTTGTGGTACGCAGCCAGAGATATGTAAGTGCTATAAGTACTATAGGGCAGATGGAATGACGATACTCACAGTATGTGTCCGTTGTCAGCCGATCGATGGTGTCCTGCTTCAATTTCGAGTTCTTCTTGCCCATGGCGAAGGCTGCTCCTGTTTGCGATGTCGATGCCGCTGTCGATACTCCTCTGGGTTCTCACTACTTTCCCTCCGACTGACTGACTGACTGACTGGCCAAGTGGGTCAGTGACAGGTGTCCTATATCAGGGGGAGCGTGTCTTATCCCGATTTGGCCTCAGTTCGATCTGCAAGTACAAGTGCAAAAGCAAGCAGATTAAAGATAGTCAACCCGAAAACTGCACCACCACCTGCCAAGGGTACTTTGATATTTAAGCACGTCAACGCTGGCCACCCACCACCCAGGAACCACCCACTCACCAACCCACCGCCCACCTCGAATATCACCGAAAACAAGGCAAAGAACAACCGCAACGACAACAGCAGCCGCAGCACAATGAGGGGGTGGCAAAAGCAGTGTCCTTCAGGTCCTTTAGGACCTCCCTTGTCACCCCAATCCCCAAGCCCCCAAACACCCACCCGTCCATCCGTCAGTGCGTCATTCAACTCAACTAAACTCAGTAGAGCCGAAACTTACAGGCCGCTTTTTGGGCCTTTATCGGACGAGACTCGCCCACAATTTCGGCCAATTTCAACCAAATTCCACATTTCCACATTTCCATAGACCGAAATAGCACTTCATTTTGGCAATATTGCTTCCTATACTAAATGCATTGTCCGCAATTTATGTAAAATGGTCACAGACTTACAATCATTTCGGGCATAGTTTCGAATTTCTTTAGCTGTGAATTTAAAGGATTTATTTTATTCACCTTTTTTTTAAATATTTAATGTATTCAATAAAATAGAACAGATAAATATCTAGACACTACTGCCAAAAAAATCTTTTCTAACTGAATTAAAGAAAGTTATTCTGAAAAGTAATGTATGTACAAAAACTAGTTATAATTTTCTAAATTAAATTTCAATGACTTGGGAAATTAATTGGGATTTAGGTATTTCCTTACTTTAACTTTAAAAATAAGAATGATCAAAAAACGTCACGTCCGACAACCTGGAAATCAAGTGATATTTGTCGCGTCCATATTTCATAATTTTATTTAATTCTAAGAACTGGTTGGACAAATAGCCTTCATTTATTCACCATAAATACAAGAGCTTCAGACCTATAAAACAAAAAAAAAGTGTAGTTAATGTGGAAAAGACTCTACAAGTAAGTTGGAAAAACGTTTCTAACTGAATTAAAAAAATTATTAAGAAAAAAAATGTTTGTATATAAATAAACTATAATTTTCTAAATTAAATTTCAATAACTTGGAAAATAATTGGGATACGGGCATTTCCAGGATGTCAAACGTGACAGCTTTTTAAATTTAACTTTAAAAATAGAGTGATCGAATAACTGTCACGTCCGACAGCTTGGAAATCAAGAGATTTTTGTCGCGTCCATAATTTATTTTACAAAATATATACGTACTCCATCACTCTTATTTTTAGAGTTAAAGTCAAAGCACGGTCACGTCCGAAATTCTTATTTTTTATTGATAATTATATATTTTATAGGTGTATATTTGTCCTGTACAAAGTCATTTATTCAAAAGCGCCCCCTTGAAGTGCAGGGTATCCCGGAATACCGCCTGCTTTGCCTTACCTTTTGCAGTTTTGTGTAACGTCAACCATGACGACAATGGCAGCGGCGACGACAGAGCGATGTCTACAACTTTTCCCCCCGTGGAGTTGCGTAATTAAAATTTTAATAATTTCCCAGGCAAGTTTTCCCCTTTCCCAATTCGCCCCTTTCGATAGCCCACGGTGAGCGGAGCGGAGTGAAAAGTTTTTTAATTCTTTGTTGCCACTTGACAAGCAAATTGCGTGAGACTTTAATTGACTTTGAATTGGTAAAGCCGATGCCCCCACCACGTGAGAGCCATAATAATAATTTATGGCCCAAAGCCCCCGCTCCCCCTTCCGTAATTAGAGGCGCTTCGCGTCCTCGAAGAAATCATGACAAATTAGACAGAAACTTGCATAACGCAATCGTAAAAGATCCGAAAGCATTTTCATATTTCATTTTACGAGTTGCGTTGCGGACAAATTTTGATGGCCCCGGGCGGAAGCTGGCGAAGAAAATGGCCACGACAGAGAGACAGAGGCAACTTTTGATGGAAATCCGCAGTCACATCCGCAGCCAAGTCAACGTGTGGACAGGCCACAGCGACAGAAGACAGACGACAGAAGACGACGACGACAACAATTCTCGACGGATGTGCCCAAAGTTAACTGCTGACAGTGAGAGAAATGGTCAGGGGATCCCCGAGAACGCCTTGGACTGATGGCTCATGACAGAGGGGAAAATTAAACAGAGTCCGGAAAGCATATAAATTATTGAACAGCAGAACAGCAGCACAATGGAGTTGCAACTGAAGCAGAATAAATGGGTGAATGTGTGCCAAAATAGAATAAAAGAAAAGCAAAGTAGTTTCCCAAAATGAGACATAAATATTATTACGAAAGCTGCATGGTAAATAGTACAGACACCTGTGTGAAAACCAATCTGAAATCGCATTTAAATGTTAAAATATGTGCCTTGAAGTAGGCAGTGAATAAATAAATAAATTCATATCACTTTTGGTCTAAAAATATATTGTTGCCTACTTTTAGGCACCTTTTTTAAAATTAAAAACTTCAAAACTCCAAAGAATTAGAGAATAAAACAAAATATGTGCCAGTATGAATTCGTAACACTTTTAGAAAAAAAATATATTGTTGCATACTTTTGGACACCTATTTTTAAAAACCCAAAAATATTTATTATACTTTTATTGCTCTAAAGGAAAGTGCCCCGAACGAGGGAAAGAATTAGAGAATAATAAAATGAAGGGGCCAGGGCATGAATAATCCACAACACAATGAGGAGCTGTGGAAATTGATTCCCCCAGCCCCCCGAAGAGTTCCCTTTGAAGATCATTTGGGGAGACATTTTTTGGGCACTGCCCCCCACGGGTGGCAAAAAAAACTAAAAACTAGGAAGCCATTCCAGCTGAAAAGGGCAAATGTGTTGCCATGGTGAAGGGGGTGAAAGGGTGAAAGGGTGCAGAGTGCAGGGGTCACATGGACGGTGATGCAACTGCTAACGAACAGAGACCCACGTCCACATGCGAGTCCTTTGAGTGTCCTGCCTGGCAGGACCCCTTCCCCTTGGATGTTGTTTGTGCCAACTGCTTGGGGCGTCTGTCTCGTCCTCGTCCTCTTCGTCCCTTTCGTCCTGCTCAGCGGAACACTGTCTGTGTCTGTCAGAGTCGGAAATTGAAAGGAAAGAAAATTGAGCATACTTTAAGGCGCCTCCGCCTTGGCCTTCTGCCTTGTCTCAGTGTCAGTCATTTCTCCAATTCTCCGGCTCTGTTTCTGATTCCGATTCCTATTCCGATTCCGATTCCTACTCCACCTGGCTGTCCAAGGGCATTACGCGATTTCCGGCCAGCCCTAAATGCATTTCCACAACTTTCGCAGAATACTTATTATATAAAATGGCCCCATCGGCGTTTCGCCATTGAATTGAATAATTGCCAAACGAGTTGTAAACAAGTTTGAGCCAAGACTTCGGTGTCTTTGGCTAACGAGCTCTAATGCTAATTTGTTTGGGTATTTTCTAGTGAAACGGAGACAAAGGGGCGTTTCCCCGGTCCACCGGTCCACCGGTCCACTGGTCCACTTTAATTGCCTGGGCAGAGTCGGCCGAAACTCGATCAAACTTGAGCTAAGTAAATTAGTCAATGGCAAGTCGAAGTTCTCTGAATGAAAAAGGGGGTGAGCGGTAGGCTAGGAAGTAAGCACGAACGAACTGAATTTCGGAACCCATAAATTAGCAAATACCCCAGTGAATACTCAATTTTCGCCAGTGAGTCCTGCGAAATTGTCCTCTCCTCCTGAATCCCGAATCCTGAAGCATAAAATCATAATTTTCTGGCGTAACTTAAACACAGCAGCGATAAGTTGGCCCAATAAATTAGGATATAAGCAATGCCTCCTAAATTTAACCACAAATGCGAGGGATGCCTTAATTCGAGCATCCACTTCCTCTTCTTGGCCAAAACACAGCAGACACGTCGCTGGTGTTGCTTTATTTCGCCTTTTTAATGGAATTTTTAAGCAAACAATTATTCACGCCAGCTGGAGAGAGTGTAGCAATTGCAATTTTTGGGCAGCCAGCCAAAGTCTTAGGGCGCAAAAGTTTTACAGGGAAAGCGGAAAAGGGGTGGAGAAAAACAGCAAAGCTTTACCAGTTCTTAACAAGTTTTTCTTGTCGGGCCTTAGAAATTGCAAATTGTGGCTGGCAAAGACTTCAAAAAATCAAAAAAAAAATCTCGTGATTGCTTTGTATTTGATTGAAGATTGATTCGTCAGCTGTTTGAATTTCTTCGGCAAATGGCATTACCTATTTTCCCTAACAATCCCATTAGTTACCCCTCGTTGTCATCTTATCACTGTGATTTTGAAACATACTTGCTTTATTAACACCCTAGGCAACCCTAGTTGCGGCAACCCTATTCAGCCACTTTGCACGAAAGTCTGCCGGGGATCTCCTGTATCTGCCTATTAACTTGGACCCGTGCATTATGCAAATGCTTTAGCCAGAGCTAGAAATTAGTAATAAAAGTTACTTTCGGTCGAAAGGAGCGTAACGGTATAGGACTTAAACACAAACACAAGCAGCATTCACACACACAAGCACAAGCACACGTGAGCAAAATTTACATAACCTCTTTCATTTTGATTTGATTATTTTCATTCAATTTCGTAAGCCACGCGAACAGGCGAAGACTGCTGAAGGTGAGAGGAGGGGGGCGGTGCCAGGATGTCAGGGGCGTGGGTGAAGGGGGAGCTGTCTAGAATCGCTGACGTCGTCTGACGCGTCAAAGCGCAACAGCGGGATAAAGAAGAAGCATCCATTGGACAGCAGAGAGCAAAGAAGAACAAGAGAGAACGCTATAGTCGGGTGCCCCGACTATCAGATACCCGTTACTCAGCTAAAGGGAGTGCGAAAGAGATGGAGAAAAACTTTGATCCGCCGTAACTTTTTAACGAATGGTCCGATTTAAAAAATTTCTTCTACATTTCGATAGGTATTGATAAACACAATAAAACTGCATTTTTACTTTTCCAAAATATTGAAATTTTTAAAATCGTATATATGCGATTGTGGGCGTTAGAGGGGGCGTGGCACCCT